AAACCAGAGCGTGGAGTTTCTCTGGACACATTTAGTGTGTGTAAGGAGCAGTCAGGATAGACACAAACAAACAAGAGCTCATGCTTCCTGTCCTGTCCCTTAGAGAATCAGTCTGTCTAAACGCACCTTATTACAAACAGTAGCAGTCACCCTTCAGAACAAGTACATGCCTGTTTTCCCTTTATGCTCCTTGGCCTGACAAACCCATGCATCAGCACAGAAAAGCTGATACTGATTAATTCCCCAGAGGATCCTTGAACCAGCACCCATCTACAAGCTCAACCCAGAGGATGCTTCATCTAGGATAGTTTGTATATATAAGCATATATACATATATATTTTAATTTTATTTTGTTGTTGAGAATATATGCAGCAAAACGTACACCAATTCAACCATTTTTTATGTGTACAATTCGGTGACACTGATCACATTCTTCGAGTTGTGCAACCATTCTTTCCCATTAACATAAACTCATTGTCCCCCAAAATTTCCTATCTAATCCACTTTGATCTCTAGGGCAGTTCCTAACCTGAGATTCTTAACGTGTGATCCAAGGGTTCCTGTAGGATCATAAATGTGCCTTAGGACTTAGTAAGTTCCCAGAAACTGTTTGCAAAAAGTGTGGAGGGAGGTACTGGGGGGACAGTGTATTTTTCTGGGAAGAGACTGCAAGGATTCATCAGATACTCAAAGGAGTCCATGACCTCCAAAGATGAAGAACCGATTTAGTGCTTTCCAGAACTTTCTGAGAACCCATGATAACAGAGGAACCTCTTAAAAATCTCAGTTCAACTCAGTTTCTCTAGAGGGTCCATGTTTTGGATTTTTTGGACCAGGCTCCCCAGGATGTACAGTCCTCTGCACAGATCTTTCAGCATCTCAGATATAGGGTCTGATGATCACCCTCCCTGTGCTGGGACAGGGGCATGGTCCAGGACCTGTGAGAGACACCCCGAGATGGCAGGAGCAAGACACTCACCTCTTGCCTGCTACAGTGGCATCACCTGAGGTCACTGAGGTGTCCCCAGTGAGCATCTTGAATGTGGTTGTTTTGCCCGCACCATTCACGCCCAGAAGGCCAAAGCACTAAGGGAGAAAATGCAGAATTGGTCTTGCCCTAGTGGTGTGGAGTTTCCTCCCTCCTTCCCTCTCTCCCTCCCTCCCTCCATTTCACTCATGCGTTCATTTATAAAGCCCTGCAGTTTACCGGGCATAACACACACACCTGTTGCTGTCAAGTCGATTCTGACTCACAGTAACCCCGTAGGACAGAGTAGAACTGCCCCACAGAATTTCCAAGGAATGGCTGGTGGATTCGAACTCCCAACCTTTTGGTTAACAGCCTAGATTTTAACCACTGAGCCACCAAGGCTCCTTACCAGGCATGGTACTGGACAAAGGCAATAAGCTATAGCCCTGCCCTCAGGGAACTTAGAGTCTAGTAGGGAGAGAAAGATGTGTAGCAAGTGAGCACATAATACACTGAAGGATCTATGGTTATGAAGATAGTCCAC